TACGATCCGGCCTTTAGTCGCTGAGTTATAAGCATTACAAGTTTAGAAACAAACACAATCTTACCAGATTGACCATTTTAAAAGTCGGACCCATTGCGAACGTAGGAGAAGTAATCTCAACGATCACGCGCGATTCACGCAAAAACACGCGTCCGACCGAAAGCACGTTTCACTTGTTAGTCTTGTTAGTTTTGTATTGTACACAACGTTCATCCAGTTTCTAAATAAACGGAGTAATCCTTCATTTTGACTGACTTCGCATACTGAGATTGTCTTGCTGTGTGTTAATAAGGGAAAGGACCTGTGCTGGACTTTATCCGTCCACAACACATGGTGCCGAGACCAGGATTATTGACACTTTTGTTCTTCGTTGTCCGGATACAACAATCTAGCTACAGCCATGACAAAGCTCAACCAACTAAGGAAGAAGCGGGACACAGCTAGAAGGGTGCTTGTTAATGCACTAGAACCTGAAGAGGACTCAATTCGCACCTTCAATAGCCAACAAGACAAACCGTCAGTCTACGAACAAATAGCAAGTCGACTGTCGCGCCTACATCGACTAGAAGAAGACTCTATCGCCGCGCATCGTGAATTGTACGACCACTTAGAAGTAGATGATCCAGAATTCGACGAGGTTATAAAGGATAGCCAGGAACTGTCCAACAGATGTGCTCGGGTCGATTCGTTCGTCGAGAAACACAGAGTTGTTTACAATCAACCGCAACAAAGTCAAATCAACGCCAGCGCGCGTAACCAGTCTCATAATTCTGCGGACCAACATGTTCAATTCCCACTATCACTGACATACAGATCGTCTATGCAACTACCTAAATTGGAAATCCCTAAATTCAGCGGAGACGCACTCCAGTGGAACCAGTTTCACGACAATTTCTCATCTGCGATCGACAGTGATGACCGATTATCCGAAGTTCAGAAACTCACCTATTTGAAGAGTTTCCTCACAGACGAGGCCAAACGGACAATAGATGGCTTACAAACTACGCAAGCCAACTATAAAATCGCCTTCGATTTGTTGAAAGAGCGCTACGGACAACCCAAGATGATTATCGACGCTCACATGCGGTCACTTTGGGCGCTACCGGCTCCGAACAACGATCCCACGAGTCTAAGACGCTTCCACGATGAGGTCGAGACTACGATACGCGGTCTACGAGTTCTACACATGAACGAGAGCAGTTACGGAGCTCTTTTGATCCCCATGTTGTTGGATAAATTGCCAATTACCTTCCAACAACAACTCGCACGCAATCACGGGGATGACGATTGGACACTCACCGGACTGACCGCTGCTATGCGAGCAGAAATACGAGCTCTCTCTGTCGGCAATACATTCTCTACACTTTCCTGTGACGATGAGACTGATACAAAGTCTACAGTTGCCGCCTTCTACACAAATACACACGCGAAGAAACCCTACAAACCGAGAAAACCCGCCTATAAGCCGCCCGCTGAACGTAAATGCGTCTACTGTCAAGAAATGCACAACCCAACTTCATGCATTAAAGTGGCTACCCCAGAACTAAGATTGCAGTATGTCAAAACCAATCAGCTGTGCTTTAATTGTTTGGGATCTCATAAAGCCAACTCCTGTAAGTCAAAGTATAGTTGCAAAATATGTAAGAAGCGACACCATACTTCGCTACATCGTCATAACAAACAATCGAACGACAATAGCTCAAACAATTCAGGCTCTGAAACTCCCCCTGTGAGTGTGAATTTTACCCATGCTTCACAGAAATTGGCGAACCGAAGCGATCGGTACTCGGGCGATCGTAATATTACATCGAGTAATCCCCCAAACCGTGTGTTGCTAAAAACAGCCACTATTCCAGTCTCTTACCGTGGTAAAATGGTCTACGCTACAGCTCTGTTTGATGAAGGAGCCGATCGTAGTTTTGTGACTCACAATCTCGCCCAAAGGCTTAACGCCAACGTACATTTCACTGAACAACTCAGATTGAAGTCGTTCAACAACCCGGATGCCGAATGCAAATCCGTGCCATGTACTACGTTACAACTACATACTAGAAACGGACAGAAAAAGCCCATCGATGTTCTATACGTTAAGGAAATTTCCGATAAGCTCACTAATGTGACAACCAATATTACCAACATGCCCCATTTGCGAGGATTAAATCTAGCCCAAAAACCGATGCCCAGCGAGTCTACTATAAGAATAGACATTCTGATTGGAGCCGACAAGTACTGGGACTATGTCCGTAATCATGTTATTAGAGGCCCGGGACCCACCGCCGTCGATTCCGTGTTCGGATATTTACTTTCGGGGCCTGTCGACCGAAACCACGTAACACGCGCCGCGGCATTCACTGGTTGAACACACGTACGAAATACGCGCTCCAATAGTGTAAGCGCGTTCCATTTCACCGCCGAAGTACAAGCACTACGAACTAGTCAGGTGTTAGACAAGAACATTGCATCATTTTGGGACATAGAATCTATAGGGATCCGTGAACAAATCAATCAAGATCCAGTAACAGTTGGTCACACAGAACAGTACAAGCAGTATAGTCAAAACTGCTTGGACGTAGTCAATGGTCGATTTAGCGCCAAGTTGCCATGGAAACCAAATCACGATCCCCTGCCAACTAACTACTACGCAACTGAACAGCGCACGCGAAACATGGTACGAAAATTACCACGTGACATTATTCAGGCGTATGATAAGGTGATTACCGATCAGCTGAATAAAGGTTACATAGAGAAAGTTGTACCGGACAATAACAATACAGGTCACTATCTACCGCAAAGGGAAATAAAACGAGAAAGTTCTGCCTCCACCCCAATTCGTGTCGTCTATGATTGCAGTGCTAAATCTGGGCCGGTCAACCGAGTTTGAATGATTGTTTAGAGATAGGCCCTCCCTTGTTGAACGACCTCACTGGTATCCTACTGCGCTTCAGAGCGAATCCGGTTGCCATAACAAGTGACATTGAAAAGGCCTTTCTACAAATTGGATTAAGTACAGAAGACCGCCAATACACTAAGTTCGTATGGCTATCGGACATCAAAAACGTCAACAGCGACTTTTCTACTTATCAATTTTGTTCTGTTTTATTTGGTGCAAGTCCAAGCCCGTTCATATTAAACGCGGCCATCAAAACACTCATCGACAATAACACTGACGTACCAGCCGCGAATGATCTTCAACAGAACATTTACGTAGACGATGTCGTAACCGGGAGCACAAACACGAGTGAAGCCATCCAATACTATCACGATGCGACACTGTTATTGGCTACACGCGGGTTCAACTTAAGAAGTTGGAGTTCTGATGACGCTGCTATACGCGAACTCGCCGCCCATCATGGACGGGGAAAATCTGATAACCCCGTGACAGTTCTCGGTATGAAATGGGACACAAATCGCGACATACTACAATGTAAGCAAATCGAGTTGCCTAGTAACGACCCACTGATTACCAAACGTGACATTGTTAGTTACACCGCTAATTTGTATGACCCATTGGGTTTGTTGACGCCCGCGCATATCGCCGCTAAACGATTAATACAAACGTTATGGAAACAGAATCAACACTGGGACACTCCTATCTCTGATAAGTTACGCAACGATTGGGAAGTAATCGCCGAAAACCTCCACTCCGCCTCCAAGATAAACGTGAGAAGACGCTATTTCAATGAAACGGACAATACTGTCAACAACGAAGTTGAAATACATGCGTTCGCGGATGCGTCTGACAAAGCATACGGTGGAGTTGTATACGTAAAATCAGGAAATGAAACTTCGCTCGCCATGTCTAAGACACGCGTAACTCCAGTAAATAACCAGACATTGACCTTACCAAGGTTAGAATTGATGGGAGCCGTAATTGCTACGCGGTTGAGCAAATTTGTATCTACAGCACTGTCTACAAAATATAATGTTGCAAAACAGTTTCTCTGGTCGGACTCACAGATCGTTTTGCACTGGTTAAATGCACGCGGAAAACAGGACACTTTCAATGCAAATCGCGTAAGTGAAATCGTCAGTTTACCACAAGAGTTTAAGTACGTGCCGACCAAATGCAATCCAGCACACCTGCTTACTCGCGGTATCACCTCCAAGGAATTACGCGATTCTGAATTGTGGTGGAAAGGTCCTCCGTGGCTGGGAAATCGTGATTCTTGGCCAACATGCGAGTTGTTTGACAAGCCAAACATATCTGTCAATCACGTAGCATTGACGCCAACTGGGGACATCGATTTCGCGCCGCTAGTTCATCAGGATATCCCCGCTACCTATGTCAACAAAGAATCAATGACGTCATCATTAGATAGAAGCCCCGCAGTGACGTCACAGACCCGGGAAAGCCTTACCCGTGAGAATACTCCATCGGTACCAGTCGGCAGTCACAATGCATCGCGCACCGTAAACACTAAGGAAGTACCTGTTGGATTACAATATGTGATCAATCTGGATGATTACAATAACAATTACAACAAACTTTTGCAAATTACTGCTTATGTGTGGAGATTCGTACAACTACTGAAATCGAAAGAGAAGTGCACCCAAGATAAACCCAGTGCCACGGAATTAAATAATGCAGAAATACACTGGATTACTGACATTCAACATGAACACTTTGCTGATATATTCGCGTCTACCAACAATGACAATAAGAAATACGGTCATCTTAGTAGCCAACTGAAGCTATTTATCGCCGAGGATAAATTACTACGCCTAGGCGGTCGTCTTCAATACGCAGATCTACCTTATAATACGAAACACCCGATATTGTTACCACGTGATCATCAGTTAACCCGACTTATCGTACGAGCTACACATGATCGTATCATGCACCGCGGACCCCAGTCTACGGTTAACGCCTTGCGAGATCGCTATTGGATAAATTCTATACGCCGCGTTGTGAATCACGTGCTCCACAAGTGTGTGGTCTGCCGGGAAGTCAGTGGACCAGCTTACGCAAAACCGATATCTATTCCGCTCCCAGAATGTCGGGTAACCGCGACACCTCCATTTCGAATCAGCGGTATTGATTATACTGGCGCCTTATACGTGAGAAGCGCACCCAACAAAACAGTAACTAAAGCGTATGCTTGTCTGTTTACTTGCGCGACTACAAGGGCAGTTCACCTTGAACTCGTACCGGACATGTCTACCCGATCTTTCTTACTAGCCTTTCGCCGATTCGCTGCCCGCCGCTCAACTCCATCAATGTTAATATCGGACAATGCTACTACATTTATTTCCGCAGCTCACGAACTGAGACGACTAATGAACGACCCCGAAGTTCAAGCATTGTTAGCGCATCACCGTACAACGTGGAAGTTTATCCCGAAACGCGCGCCATGGGTAGGCGGCTTCTACGAGCGTATGATTGGAATAACCAAATCAACTTTAAAGAAAGTACTGGGAAAAGCATGCGTGACGTTTGACGAACTGCAAACTATATTAACAGAGGTAGAATCTGTCATAAATGACCGCCCGTTGACGCACATCGCTAGCCACGCAGACGACTTGGTACCACTTACCCCATCTCACCTTATGATCGGGAGAAATGTATACAGTCTACCGTATGACGCGTCAAACCACCTGAGTGATCCTATCTCTCTAACTCATCATAATGTAAATCTTCGCTTTGAACATTTGGCAAAACTACAACGCCAATTTGGGAAAAGGTGGTCAGCCGAGTATCTCACCGCGCTCCGAGAAGCGCCACACTCTCACCGCCGGAGGTGTGAAAAATAACACTATAAAAGTGGGCGACATTGTACTCGTTCATAGCGACGTGGAGAAACGAGTGAATTGGCACATGGCAAAAGTTACCCGCTTACTACCCGGCAAAGATGGACTTGTACGTGTCGTCGAAATCAAGACCAAACTTGGAAAAACAAATCGTCCCGTTAATAAGTTGTATTTATTGGAGACGAGTCAAGTCGAATAACAACGGACTAGCGCCATACAGTCGCCACCAACCGTCCCGGATGTCAACAACGAAGAGCTGACTGAGGGAAATCCAACTATGACGTCACCAGTTACCGGGAAACCCCCGAATGAGAACGGTGTCCCAGAAGACGCAACTGAGGACAGAGCAGACCAAATGTCCCCCACCAAGAATTCAAACACAACGCAGTCATCGCGACCACGGAGAGAAGCATTTGAAGTCGCCAACCTGCGTCTGATGTACAATAATAAATAAACTGACATTTATTCATTTCTCAATTACAAATATGAGTATATTGATCTCAGTTTGACGTTATTATGTTTGAAACTTCCCATACTATGAGCTATAGTATTGCGTTAATGTTCATTTCATTGACAGGGTATTTGTTAATTCTGAACAATTGATTCATGTTTATGTTACAGACTTTACTTTTACTGTGAAATCGTCAACAATTGAGGCCATTTTGTCGGCCGCCGGAATATGTCGCGCGGAGATCGAAAATTCCCATTTATTGTGCAATTATTGATCGATGTTTATACAAATGTTTTCATGTTCTAGTTCGTGTTTATAGTTACTTATACAGGTTTCTCTGATTACGATCCGGCCTTTAGTCGCTGAGTTATAAGCATTACAAGTTTAGAAACAAACACAATCTTACCAGATTGACCATTTTAAAAGTCGGACCCATTGCGAACGTAGGAGAAGTAATCTCAACGGTCACGCGCGATTCACGCAAAACACGTGTCCGACCGAAAGCACGCTTCACTTGTGAGTTTTGTCTTGTACACAACGTTCATCCAGTTTCTAAATAAACGGAGTAGTCCTTCATTTTGACTGACTTCGCATACTGAGATTGTCTTGCTGTGTGTTAATAAGGGAAAGGACCTGTGCTGGACTTTATCCGTCCACAACATATGGTGCCGAGACCAGGATTATTGACACTTTTGTTCTTCGTTGTCCGGATACAACAATCTAGCTACAGCCATGACAAAGCTCAACCAACTAAGGAAGAAGCGGGACAAAGCTAGAAGGGTGCTTGTTAATGCACTAGAACCTGAAGAGGACTCAATTCGCACCTTCAATAGCCAACAAGACAAACCGTCAGTCTACGAACAAATAGCAAGTCGACTGTCGCGCCTACATCAACTAGAAGAAGACTCTATCGCCGCGCATCGTGAATTGTACGACCACTTAAAAGTAGATGATCCAGAATTCGACGAGGTTATAAAGGATAACCAGGAACTGTCCAACAGATGTGCTCGGGTCGATTCGTTCGTCGAGAAACACAGAGTTGTTTACAATCAACCGCAACAAAGTCAAATCAATGCCAGCGCGCGTAACCAGTCTCATAATTCTGCGGCCCAACATGTTCAATTCCCACCATCACTGACATACAGATCGTCTATGCAACTACCTAAATTGGAAATCCCTAAATTCAGCAGAGACGCACTCGAGTGGAACCAGTTTCACGACAATTTCTCATCTGCGATCGACAGTGATGACCGATTATCCGAAGTTCAGAAACTCACCTATTTGAAGAGTTTCCTCACAGACGAGGCCAAACGAACAATAGATGGCTTACAAACTACACAAGCCAACTATAAAATCGCCTTCGATTTGTTGAAAGAGCGCTACAGACAACCCAAGATGATTATCGACGCTCACATGCGGTCACTTTGGGCGCTACCGGCTCCGAACAACGATCCCACGAGTCTAAGACGCTTCCACGATGAGGTCGAGACTACGATACGCGGTCTACGAGTTCTACACATGAACGAGAGCAGTTACGGAGCTCTTTTGATCCCCATGTTGTTGGATAAATTGCCAATTACCTTCCAACAACAACTCGCATGCAATCACGGGGATGACGATTGGACACTCACCGGACTGACCGCTGTTATGCGAGCAGAAATACGAGCTCTCTCTGTCGGCAATAAATTCTCTACACTTTCCTGTGACGATGAGACTGATACAAAGTCTACAGTTGCCGCCTTCTACACAAATACACACGCGAAGAAACCCTACAAACCGAGAAAACCCGCCTATAAGCCGCCCGCTGAACGTAAATGCGTCTACTGTCAAGAAATGCACAACCCAACTTCATGCGTTAAAGTGGCCACCCCAGAACTAAGATTGCAGTATGTCAAAACCAATCAGCTGTGCTTTAATTGTTTGGGATCTCATAAAGCCAACTCCTGTAAGTTAAAGTATAGTTGCAAAATATGTAAGAAGCGACACCATACTTCGCTACATCGTCATAACAAACAATCGAACGACAATAGCTCAAACAATTCAGGCTCTGAAACTCCCCCTGTGAGTGTAAATTTTACCCATGCTTCACAGAAGTTGGCGAACCGAAGCGATCGGTACTCGGGCGATCGTAATATTACACCGAGTAATCCCCCAAACCATGTGTTGCTAAAAACAGCTACTATTCCAGTCTCTTACCGTGGTAAAATGGTCTACGCTACAGCTCTGTTTGATGAAGGAGCCGATCGTAGTTTTGTGACTCACAATCTCGCCCAAAGGCTTAACGCCAACGTACATTTCACTGAACAACTCAGATTGAAGTCGTTCAACAACCCGGATGCCGAATGCAAATCCGTGCCATGTACTACGTTACAACTACATACTAGAGACGGACAGAAAAAGCCCATCGATGTTCTATACGTTAAGGAAATTTCCGATAAGCTCACTAATGTTGTGACAACCAATATTACCAACATGCCCCATTTGCGAGGATTAAATCTAGCCCAAAAACCGATGCCCAGCGAGTCTACTATAAGAATAGACATTCTGATTGGAGCCGACAAGTACTGGGACTATGTCCGTAATGATGTTATTAGAGGCCCGGGACCCACCGCCGTCGATTCCGTGTTCGGATATTTACTTTCGGGGCCTGTCGACCGAAACCACATAACACGCGCCGCGGCATTCACTGGTCGAACACACGTACGAAATACGCGCTCCAATAGTGTAACCGCGTTCCATTTCACCGCCGAAGTACAAGCACTACGAACTAGTCAGGTGTTAGACAAGAACATTGCATCATTTTGGGACTTAGAATCTATAGGGATCCGTGAACAAATCAATCAAGATCCAGTAACAGTTGGTCACACAGAACAGTACAAGCAGTATAGTCAAAACTGCTTGGACGTAGTCAATGGTCGATTTAGCGCCAAGTTGCCATGGAAACCAAATCACGATCCCCTGCCAACTAACTACTACGCAACTGAACAGCGCACGCGAAACATGGTACGAAAATTACCACGTGACATTATTCAGGCGTATGATAAGGTGATTACCGATCAGCTGGATAAAGGTTGCATAGAGAAAGTTGTACCGGACAATAACAATACAGGTCACTATCTACCGCATAGGGCAATAAAACGAGAAAGTTCTGCCTCCACCCCAATTCGTGTCGTCTATGATTGCAGTGCTAAATCTGGGGCCGGTCAACCGAGTTTGAGTGATTGTTTAGAGATAGGCCCTCCCTTGTTGAACGACCTCACTGGTATCCTACTGCGCTTCAGAGCGAATCCGGTTGCCATAACAAGTGACATTGAAAAGGCCTTTCTACAAATTGGATTAAGTACAGAAGACCGCCAATACACTAAGTTCTTATGGCTATCGGACATCAAAAACGTCAACAGCGACTTTTCTACTTATCAATTTTGTTCTGTTTTATTTGGTGCAAGTCCAAGCCCGTTCATATTAAACGCGGCCATCAAAACACTCATCGACAATAACACTGACGTACCAGCCGCGAATGATCTTCAACAGAACATTTACGTAGACGATGTCATAACCGGGAGCACAAACACGAGTGAAGCCATCCAATACTATCACGATGCGACACAGTTATTGGCTACACGCGGGTTCAACTTAAGAAGTTGGAGTTCTAATGACGCTGCTATACGCGAACTCGCCGCCCATGATGGACGGGGGAAATCCGATAACCCCGTGACAGTTCTCGGTATGAAATGGGACACAAATCGCGACATACTACAATGTAAGCAAATCGAGTTGCCTAGTAACGACCCACTGATTACCAAACATGACATTGTTAGTTACACCGCTAGTTTGTATGATCCATTGGGTTTGTTGACGCCCGCGCATATCGCCGCTAAACGACTAATACAAACTTTATGGAAACAGAATCAACACTGGGACACTCCTATCTCTGATAAGTTACGCAACGATTGGGAAGTAATTGCTGAAAACCTCCAAGATAAACGTGAGAAGACGCTATTTCAATGAAACTGACAATACTGTCAACAACGAAGTTGAAATACATGCATTCGCGGATGCGTCTGGCAAAGCATACGGTGGAGTTGTATACGTAAAATCAGGAAATGAAACTTCGCTCGCCATGTCTAAGACACGCGTAACTCCAGTAAATAACCAGACATTGACCTTACCAAGGTTAGAGTTGATGGAAGCCGTAATTGCTACGCGTTTGAGCAAATTTGTATCTACAGCATTGTCTACAAAGTATAATGTTGCAAAATAGTTTCTCTGGTCAGACTCACAGATCATTTTACACTGGTTAAATGCACGCGTAAAACAGGACACTTTCACTGCAAATCGCGTAAGTGAAATCGTCAGTTTTACCACAAGAGTTTAAGTACGTGCCGACCAAATGCAATCCAGCAGACCTGCTTACTCGCGGTATCACCTCCAAGGAATTATGCGATTCTGAATTGTGGTGGAAAGGTCCTCCGTGGCTGGGAAATCGTGATTCTTGGCCAACATGCGAGTTGTTTGACAAGCCAAACATATCCGTCAATCACGTAGCATTGACGCCAACTGGGGACATCGATTTCGCGCCGCTAGTTCATCAGGATATCCCCGCTACCTATGTCAACAAAGAATCAATGACGTCATCATTAGATAGAAGCCCCGCAGTGACGTCACAGACCCGGGAAAGCCTTACCCGTGAGAATACTCCATCGGTACCAGTCGGCAATCACAATGCATCGCGCACCGTAAACACTAAGGAAGTACCTGTTGGATTACAATATGTGATCAATCTGGATGATTACAATAACAATTACAACAAACTTTTGCGAATTACTGCTTATGTGTTGAGATTCGTACAACTACTTAAATCGAAAGAGAAATGCACCCAAGATAAACCCAGTGCCACGGAATTAAATAATGCAGAAATACACTGGATTACTGACATTCAACATGAACACTTTGCTGATATATTCGCGTCTACCAAAAATGACAATAAGAAATACGGTCATCTTAGTAGCCAACTGAAGCTATTTATCGCCGAGGATAAATTACTACGCCTAGGCGGTTGTCTTCAATAGGCAGATCTACCTTATAATACGAAACACCCGATATTGTTACCACGTGATCATCAGTTAACCCGACTTATCGTACGAGCTACACATGATCGTATCATGCACCGCGGACCCCAGTCTACGGTTAACGCCTTGCGAGATCGCTATTGGATAAATTCTATACGCCGCGTTGTGAATCACGTGCTCCACAAGTGTGTGGTCTGCCGGAAAGTCAGTGGACCAGCTTACGCAAAACCGATATCTACTCCGCTCCCAGAATGTCGGGTAACCGCGACACCTCCATTTCGAATCAGCGGTATTGATTATACTGGCGCCTTATACGTGAGAAGCGCACCCAACAAAACAGTAACTAAAGCGTATGTTTGTCTGTTTACTTGCGTGACTACAAGGGCAGTTCACCTTGAACTCGTACCGGACATGTCTACCCGATCTTTCTTACTAGCCTTTCGTCGATTCGCTGCCGCCGCTCAACTCCATCAATGTTAATATCGGACAATGCTACTACATTTATTTCCGCAGCTCACGAACTGAGACGACTAATGAACGACCCCGAAGTTCAAGCATTGTTAGCGCATCACCGTACAACGTGGAAGTTTATCCCGAAACGCGCGCCATGGGTAGGCGGCTTCTACGAGCGGATGATTGGAATAACCAAATCAACTTTAAAGAAAGTACTGGGAAAAGCATGCGTGACGTTTGACGAACTGCAAACTATATTAACAGAGGTAGAATCTGTCATAAATGACCGCCCGTTGACGCACATCGCTAGCCACGCAGACGACTTGGTACCACTTACCCCATCTCACCTTATGATCGGGAGGAATGTATACAGTCTACCGTATGACGCGTCAAACCACCTGAGTGATCCTATCTCTCTAACTCATCATAATGTAAATCTTCGCTTTGAACATTTGGCAAAACTACAACGCCAATTTGGGAAAAGGTGGTCAGCCGAGTATCTCACCGCGCTCCGAGAACGCCACACTCACACCGCCGGAGGTGTGAAAAACAACACTATAAAAGTGGGCGACATTGTACTCGTTCATAGCGATGTGGAGAAACAAGTGAATTGGCACATGGCAAAAGTTACCCGCTTACTACCCGGCAAAGATGGACTTGTACGTGTCGTCGAAATCAAGACCAAACTTGGAAAAACAAATCGTCCCGTTAATAAGTTGTATTTATTGGAGACGAGTCAAGTCGAAGAACAACGGACTAGCGCCATACAGTCGCCACCAACCGTCCCGGATGTCAACAACGAAGAGCTGACTGAGGGAAATCCAACTATGACGTCACCAGTTACCGGGAAACCCCCGAATGAGAACGGTGTCCCAGAAGACGCAACTGAGGACAGAGCAGACCAAATGTCCCCCGCCAAGAATTCAAACACAACGCAGTCATCGCGACCACGGAGAGAAGCATTTGAAGTCGCCAACCTGCGTCTGATGTACAATAATAAATAAACTGACATTTATTCATTTCTCAATTACAAATATAAGTATATTGATCTCAGTTTGACGTTATTATGTTTGAAACTTCCCATACTATGAGCTATAGTATTGCGTTAATGTTCATTTCATTGACAGGGTATTTGTTAATTCTGAACAATTGATTCATGTTTATGTTACAGACTTTACTTTTACTGTGAAATCGTCAATAATTGAGGCCATTTTGTCGGCCCCCGGAATATGTCGCGCGGAGATCGAAAATTCCCATTTATTGTGCAATTATTGATCGATGTTTATACAAATGTTTTCATGTTCTAGTTCGTGTTTATAGTTACTTATACATGTTTCTCTGATTACGATCCGGCCTTTAGTCGCTGAGTTATAAGCATTACAAGTTTAGAAACAAACACAATCTTACCAGATTGACCATTTTAAAAGTCGGACCCATTGCGAACGTAGGAGAAGTAATCTCAACGGTCACGCGCGATTCATGCAAAACACGTGTCCGACCGAAAGCACGCTTCACTTGTGAGTCTTGTTAGTTTTGTCTTGTACACAACGTTCATCCAGTTTCTAAATAAACGAAGTAGTCCTTCATTTTGACTGACTTCGCATACTGAGATTGTCTTGCTGTGTGTTAATAAGGGAAAGGACCTGTGCTGGACTTTATCCGTCCACAACAACACTGTTTAACAAGATAGGTAACCATTGTGGCTGTAAAATCTGATCCCCCAGCAAAAGCGGTTGAACGGTGTTTATCATCCGCGGTAATATCAAACAGGGAAACTAACTCCACGTTGGGAGAATTTAGATCCGCCGCTGGTGTTTCCACGTTATTGACCGACGTCTCCGCCACCTCAGAGATAGACGAATTTGAAGGTCTTGTCGCAAACGTCGACCCTGCTAGTCAGATCGTGACAATTCTCCAACCATCTCGGTTGTCGACCGGAGGCAAGCCTCGTCGCAATGACCAAGTGGAGGGAGAGATTTTTCACTCATTGAATCAGACATATCCTCGCTAGCTGCGGCTAGGGATTTCCCTTTCTTATCGCGACTTTTAAAAGCTTTAAATCGCTTGCCTTCAGCTTTCCACCTAGCCTCGCAATGCAACCATGTTTTGGGGTTCCATAAATTGCATAGCCCCTTTAGGCAGAACCCAGAGTCCCTGACACAGCCAAGGCACGAATGCCAATACATGTGCGGGTCTCAAACAGGCATTTGCTTAAAGCAGGTTGAGCATGTCTTACGTCCCGACTGCTGCGTCAGGACATTCTCATCTTTTTT